TATTATATAAATATTATAATGATATTGATCAAATTAGAGATATTTGCATTGCTCGAATATTTGGGTGCTTAACATTTGATGTCAAGAGATACATAGATGCCCATTAGATAATCGATTCTTTAACTTTCAAATACCCGATTTATGTTCATAATGAGGCAGATCAGTTAAATCAATAAATTTGTTTCACTTACTGCCAGCAGGGTATTTGATATTCGTCAAGGTTTGTCCCTGGATTGTGCCAGCTTGTTCTGGGCATTAACGATCGTCGATTAATTTTACAGCAGATCCAACATTGTGCGCTCTTTGTATGTGGTGCTCGTTGAGCACGCATTTTGTCCCACTATGCAACTGGTTTGAATGCCTTTTATCGATCGGACCAGAGATCTCAGCATATTTTCCAGACAGCCAGCCAGCCAGCCACCCACCTCCGCCCGCCGCTGCACACGCCAGTTTTTCACTCTCGATGCAGCAGCAACAGCAACCGAAGAAGAAGACGAAGAAGAAGATGCTGCAGCAGCAGCAGCAGCAGCAGCAGAAGATCCAGATGCAGATGGACAAGATGCTTACAAGAAAGTCTTTGGCTCTTCTTTGGGTCTTCGTTGGTTCTTTGAAACGAGTTTTGTTGGCCAAACACGAAGAAAACCAGCTCGAAGTGCTGGCTATTTTTAGATCCAATTAGCTTTTAGCTGCAGCGACTGTAGAAGGGTTTTCGAATCAGAATCATCGCCATCAAATTGGGAGCTCTGCATCCAATTCGATGCGTTTTTTCAATTTCCCTCATATGAAGACAATAGAAACCCATTAGTAATTTATTAGTCAAGAAGAAGAAGAAGAAAACTAATTTATGCAAATGATGCAGATGCATTTCCAACTAAAGTCTAGTTAAATGGGTCAATGGGCGTCGCGCGTGGGGGCGTGGCGCAACAAAGAAGAGAAAATTTGTGGAGAGCTCTTACTGGCAACGAAAACTGTTGTTAGCTGAACTTGACCAGATTGCCAGCGAGTCCAATTGGCAAGCCAATCAGACGGCAGTCCAATTGGACAATTGTGGAGGAACTCGTTTTCACGTTGGCCCTTTAAAAGCAAAGCCAGAGCCAGGCTAAAGGACATTGACATTAGCTTTGATTTTTTATAGACTTGTTGTTGATGGTGGTGCTGGTGGTGCTGGTGGTGCTGGTGGTGCTGCTGTTGGCTCGTTTTGTGCGTCTCTTAATTGATTTCCGCAACAAGCAGAACAAGTTCGAGTTTATTTGTATTTGCCATTAACTTGATTTTAATGTGCGCTATTAACTTGGCTCTCTGAAATTTTATGTACATATATGTATGTATGTGTATATACCCACACTCTCTTGGCCACAAATGTCGTTCAAACATTATGCAATAATACAATTGACGAAGGTGAATAAAAAAACGGGCTAAAATAATTGTTAAATGAAATTAACACCTCGCTCACATATTTCACTTGACGCCCAGACACGCATCAGCTCTGTGGGCGGTTTTTTTTTTTGATGGGGCGTGGCCCGTGAGCAAACGGTGGCAACTTTCACTTGACAGTCGTGCGGTCTACGAATTATAAACAATATCAACAATGACAACAACAACAACAACAACCACAATGAAAGCACATGCAAATAACGTCTAAATGGGAAGGCGTCAACAGATCTCTACAACAACAACAACAACAACAACAAGCGCAAATTTTTAACATAATATTTTCAATATTGCTATTGTTGTTGTTGTTGTCGCAATATTTGTGCCATATTTCTGTTTGTACTTCAGTTGTCAAGGTCAGTAAGCAAATACGGAAAAAATAAATAAAAAAAACATTTGTGGGGCTAATAAATAAAAAAGTTGTGCCAAAAAATTCAGCACGAATTGCGATTGAACAAAGAGATTTTAGTTGTAGTGTAGGGAATATGCAGGCACAAGGTAATGCCCAATTGACTGGCATAAGCTTAAAATATAACAAAGAGGTGTTAATTTATAGCACAAATTCGACTTTAAACTTGTAAATATTTAAATTTCAAATTTAACGGACACCAGCAGTAGGGTTTGTTTTGCCATAGCTAGCAGCTTAACAGTGCCATTGATAGCTAACTATCAAAAGCTGATCTGCACAGCGTATGCTGTAAGCTGTAATTCTGTTAAATGTGCGCGCTTTGATGGTGTTAAAAAATTTTAAAACTAATAAATTATAAACGCCAATTAATAAAATTCAAAATTCCGAACAGATAATGGCAAACGATAAATACTATAATTCCATATCATTTATTGTATCAAATATATTGGCATTGTTCAGTGCCGCAAATGCTAAACTCAAAATGGCTCTGTTATGTTATGAAGAAAAGTGTATATTCGGCTATTAATTGGCTGATACGACCTTTAGTTCTTATAAGACTGCAGTGTCTATTGCTTCTCGTAATAAGAAAACAGTATTTATTAAATATATTCCTGTAGCTAAAACAAGTGTGCAAGGAATAAAATAAAATTCTGCTGATGCCACATTCAAATTTAAAAGATTAGTAAATAAATGGTCACTCCAAAATATCGCCGCCTTTACATAGCAAGCTATCGATACTTAACAGCATACATAACTTAACATAAGAGCGCATATTTACATTAGCATCGCAGTCACGTTGAGCAAACAACAGCCAGTTTGCTACCGTCCCCTTCTCTAGTTAGAGGCTGCAAAACTATCGATAGGTATCAACGCCGCGCGTTCGCCTCAGTATAATTGTTAAATAAATAAATAAATTGTATAAATCATGTGCAATGTGTAAAAAAATGTGTGCGTAAGCCGCGTGTGTTAGAACGCAACACGAAAGTGAAGTGCGCGTAGACATTAACAGCAGCAGCGGCAGTAGCAACAATAACCGCAGTGCTGCGTGCGCCCACACCAACAAGAGAAGCAGATACGGCAGCAGCAATAACAACAACAAGAAGAACCAATTAAGCAAGCGCAGCAAGCAACAAAAGTGCCAATAATAACAATAATTAATTAAGCGCGTGCTCAAGACAAAATAATTAAATTATTAAAAAACTCGATGCGGCTTCAAAAAATCAACCAAATAAACAAGAACAGCTACAGCAACAACAACAACTGTTGTTCATGTGCTTGCTGTTCGTAAACTCGCGTGTGTTTGTGTGTGTGCTGCTTGTGTTTGTATGTGTGCGTGCGTGCGTGTGACAGCAGCAACAACAAAAGCATTGGGCTTGCAATCAACGGGATCGCCATCACTTGACGTCGCGGTCGCGGTCGCAGTCGACGTTGTTGGCTCTGTTAATTTTTGTATATGTTAAATAAATCTGATAAAGAAAATGAAATTAAATGAAATACAAATAATCAATTAAAGTGCAGTTGCTGTTGCCCCAATTGGCGTTTCTTGTGTTTTTCGTTTCGCTTCTTACTGCTGCCACGAATAAACCATTAAAGTAAAATAGAAAAGTACAAAAAAAAAATCGTAAAAGAAATTATTATCTGGTTGCGTGTTGTTGTATTTGTCTTTGTTTGCGTTTTTAGTCCCGTGCATTGTGCTGCTTCCTGCTCTCGCTCTTACACACACACACATACAGTCGCGCGCGCTTCTCTTGTTGTTGATTTATGCATGTGTGTGTGTGTTGCTAACGGTTATTGTCGAGCGTTTTTCGCCACAAGTTCTTATCAGCGCGGCGCAACGGCAACGGCTGCGAGTTCAAGTTCGTCGCCGTCTGCGACAACAAAAACAACAACAACAACAGGAATAACAATAACTACAACGAGAACAGCAGCAGCCGCTGCAGCAATAGCAGCAGCAGCCGCCGCAGCTACGACAATTACAACTACAGCGACAATAAGAAACGTGACTAATGCACTGCTCGCGTAGTCTCTCAGCTGCCGCGGATACAACAACATTCTTCAGCGCAGCGACTGCGGCGTCGGCGTCCGCATCGGCCTCCTCTGCCAGCACAACACCGACAATGGCCACAACAACAACAGCAACAAATGCTAAAGATGGTAAGTTGAGAAAAAAATAAAACATTTAAAATGTACTTGCTATATACCGTTATTATATTGCTGACCCACTAAATGTCGAAACGAAAATTTCGCAATTCGCCTCGTTTGATTCGAATTCGCCTTAAAGTTCAAGGCAAGTGCAGCACAGTTTTGTTAGTACAGTGACTGCAAAACTATGTCGAGTGGACTTTAGAATATAGTATATATTGATCTGGCTTGTTGATGTGGAAAGTGAAGAAGTGAAGAAGGCATGAATGCAACAATAAGAGAGAGAGAGAGAGAGAGAGAGAGCGCGCGAGAGAGTGAAAGAGAGAGAGAGAGAGAGAAGGGTTATAGATAAGAGCAAGGAGATGATGAAGAAGGATTAAATTATCAACAGACTTCAGAGAGCCATTTAAAGAGCACGAATATGAGATGAGAGCATGTAGATAATTAAAATTCGCAAATTCTTTTATTACTCTTCAATTTCTCTCTCTCTCTCTCTCTCCCTCTCACGCTCATCTGGATCAAACGAAATTCGTAATAAAAATCGTATTTGGGCTTCAATTTTATTATCCAATATCAATTACTGAGAAATAGATTCAACTTTTGACTTCTGTCTGACGTAAGTTTTCGTGAGACGCGTGTGAAATCGAAGAAGCGTTAACTTTTCGCTTGCTGGTCGTAAAATGTTGATTAATTAAGTCCAACAACATCGAAAACATGGCATTAGCTGGCGAAATAGAAATTCGCGAAAGAAGCAACAAATGGGCTAACAAAAATAATGATCGAGAATCAAGCTAAAAGCCAGCCGGCCGGGAAGTGGCAACAAAATAAACGAATAAAACAGAAAAAAAGGTAAAATTCGCACAAATCAGAAACCGGCAAGAGCAACAGCAGAAATAACAACAACAACAACAAAAACAGAGAGCAACATTTAAGTATTTTTGCGTGCAAAATAAGTTAAGAAAATACGCACAGACATAAATTTAATTGGCTTAAGGGGCACGGGTTGAGGGTGAGGTGAGGCGGAGAGGACCGTAGCGGGGCCATTCGCAGTGTGGAAGGTCGCCAAAGCGCTCAAAAGGCTTTTGTGATGAAGGTCAAAAGCATTTCGAAGTTGTCGTCACCTCTGAACCCGCTCGCAATTATTGATTTTACACGCAGCGGCAGCAGCAGAAAAAAAGAAGAAAAGTGAACATAAACAAAACAAAAGAAACGGAAACCTACATTTTTGTTTAATATATAAATATATATGTAAATGGATATATATCCACTACATAAACACACATATTTATGCATATATATTACTTGTTTGCATTTGTACTCTGTACACAGCTGTGCAGCTGGGGTATGCTCGACTAAGTTATGATGCATAATGGAAATGCGGGGGCAGTAGAATTGAAAGAAATTTTAAAATTTATAAAATGTAAAATATGAAAATATCAAACAAATTTTGGCAGTTTATTGGCTAATGCTTTTAAATATTAATTGAATTATTATTATTATTTTGTAATATTTTATAACTATTAAAATTTATTGCAACAAGTAGTATACAATTTTATTTTATTTTATTTTTTTAACACATTTTAAGCTATTACACTTGACTATTGTGGCTATAATAAATTTACTGAATGAATACCCTCGATATATATTTCAGTTTATATAGAGCATTTCTAAGTCGTCTCTGGCTACTGCATTCCTATAACAATGTTTTTTTTTTTTTTGCTTCTCTGCGACCGTCAGAGCGACTTTTGTGCGGTTTAGCCGGGTTGTTGTTCGCTGCTCGCTGTTTTGCTGTTTTCTGGGCCGGCTTTGGCTTTGGGTTTTGCCTTTGCGTTGGCTTATGCCAAAGGCCAATTGAGAAAAACCTGCTTATATAATATATATATATATTTTGTGTGCAGAAAGCAGCGGCTGAAAGGCAAATCTCATCGATGGTCACAAAAGACAACAACAACAGCAACAAAATGACTGAATTTATTGAAATCATTAATAAAACATTATTTAATTAAGGCACAACCTAACGGTTCGTGTTCACGTTAATCAAAGGCAACAGGGCTTACAGTTTTAAATGCACTGTCATTAAAAAAAAAAAAAAACAAATGATTATGTATTTTTTGTAAGCTTTAGCAATATTTTGCCGATATATATAACATATACATAAGTCTATATATTATATATGAATTTTCTTTAATTAGCCACAATTGTTTATTAATTGACTTTTTAATGCTTCAGTGATTAATTAATTAATTTATAGAAATATTATTGAAAGTCTTTTAGTAAAGCAAGAAAAATTATTTCCTTTTTTTTTCTTTGCCGCAAAGCTTCACAAACAATTTTAATTAGTTATAGCGTTTATTGATAGCATAGCTGTCATATTTGTGTGAATAATTGAAATCGTTGCGTTTGGAATTTTTCATTAATAATAATGAGTTGTTTTTTTTTTTTCTTTCTCAATGTGTGTCGTTTAATAGGGCATTGTTTAAAGGTTTGAAATAGTTGAAATTTAATTATTAAATAGGAATTTCTATTAAAGTTGAAAGTTTGGGAAATCATTTGATTATGATGGAACAAACTTGTTTAGTTACTGATAGAGCAAAGATTTTGGGTCGTTCTTTTAGCTTAATCAGCATAATTTTAGATGTTTGAGTCAGCAAATGCAATTTATGACAAATTTTTCTTGCTATATGCCTCAAACTGTCACAGTCTTTGTACTATTGTATTCCTTTCTGGTACCCTTTTCTTAATTATCTTATATCTCTTATCTTTCTGCATTCAGAAAAAGACCTTTTTTTTGGGCTTGAATAAGAAATAAGAATATTCACGACTATCTAATGCTCGTTTATGATTCCAAGACAGTTAAATTATTTTTGGTGAGCCTCAGGAGAGAGCATGCGGTCTTATCATAATATATATTCAAAATTTCTAGTCTTTAGAACCATATATATGTACTTGTGTTTATCTTATGCAAAATATTATATTTCCCTATTTGCCACGACCCTAGCATCAAACACATATTTCAAGTCTCTACTTAAACTTCATATAAAGTGCAAAGTGCGCTCTGCCAGCTGTGTATTTCATAAAACCCATATACCCCTTTCACCTTGTGAACGAGTATAAAAATTCCTCTTATTTGAGGCCCTTTTCTCGCAACGTTTATCACAACTAATTGGCGGTACAATCTGTATGCTTTATCAGCACAACATCATCGTACTCATTCATACATACATACATATWTTATATATGTATATATCTTTTACATATATAAATATATGTATGCATAACCACAACTATTACWGTRTCGTTTTTTATCAGTTGTGATTTCGTGCTTATCAGCAAATGCAAGCATTTACCTAGAGCAAATACTATGACCAATACACGTACATTCCTTTATTCATTTATTTTTGTTGCCGTTTTCAATTAGTGCACAACGGCAAAAAAGTCAACAGCCGCAACAACAATAATAATATAAAGCTACACTTTATAATTCCATTCCAACAATATCAGCAGAAAAAGCAAAAGCAAAAGAAAAACAATTAAACTGCAGATAGCTTCAAACAATATTTAATGAACATAAAAATTAAGAGAAAAAGAGAAGAAAAGAAAAAATATATAAAAAATAAGAATTAGTCGTATATTTTATATACATGTTGACATGTGAAAATATAGATATATGCATATGTATATGTAGATATGCTTGTATGTCTGTTTAAATGCACAACTTGAATCCATAGAACTTCCCATTCTCTCCAATCCTAATCCATTGCTCCTCCTCCCCCTCCCGCTTCATAATGCAAAAATGTGCAATTAGTAAGTTTAAAAAAGTGTAATAAAAGTTATAGCTAATATGGCATAAAAATAATCAAAAACAGAAAGCACAAACAAATAAAAATATGTATATATGTAAATATTTTGCAAACATATTGAATGTTGGCTGTTTGGGTGTTTGCTTGTTGTTGCCTTTTGCCTGTTTTGGGTGGGAATAAAGTTTGGAAACTTTTCCGCTGGGCGCTGCATTTGTGAGTTTGCACTTCACGGGCGCAATACTCATTCGGCAAATGCATTTGGTTCTTTTTTTATGCTCTTTTTTTTTTGCAACTCAACTCGACTCTCGTCTCGCCTCGGCCAGGCATCATTTTTCATGTGGCATGCCATTTGCCTCGCAAGTGGCGGCAGTTTGTCATGTCCCATGTCCCGTGTCCATGTCTAAAGCTCCATTGCCCAGGCAGGTGCTCGTCGTCCGGCTTCCTTTAGCACTCACTCAGACTCTAGCTCTCTCTCTCTCTCTCTCTCTCTCTTTGTGATTTGTGGCATAGTCTGTTGCAACAATTTGTGCTGAATTGCCTGCCGTGTGCGACTGTTGCACTTGTGAATTGCTTTATTACAAATTCTGTCGCTCGGAGCGGCGCAGTCAAAAACAGCTGCCACTTGGCAGCTGACTAAATTTAATTTCAAATGTGCTGATTGTCAGCACGATTAGATTTTTATTACGCACTGCACTTGGTATATTTATCATGGCCATTAGAGTTGGCCAAGGAACAACAGTTTCAGCTGACGACTTAGTCTTGAAGTATGACGAAGTCGCAGAGGATAATTAGCAGGAACACAAAATGATAAGATATGTTGACTGTAAATTGTGATTTTCTTTCCTAGTTGTAAATCACATATTAAGAAATGAAGATAAAGTGAGATGAGAGAAAAAAGGAGTAGGGCTAGAGAAGTCAAGAAAAAAAAAATGGGAATGAGAGAAAAAGGCAGATGAGAGAAGCTTGGAGAGAAGTAGAATAGAGTTAAGTGCAGAAAAAAGAGGAGATGGGGGAAGATGGGAGAAGGGAAAAGAAGAGTATAAAGCTAGGAGCCAAGAGCAGAGGAGAGGGGAGAAACCAAGAGAAATGGTATAATATGAGAACAAAATATAAAAGATCAGCTAGGTTAGACAAGAGAAATATAATACAAATGCAATAGGTGAGGGGATAACAGAGCAGACAAAAGAGAAGAAGACAATTGAGAAGAAAAAT